ATAATTTGACCTGCCGATTGAAGAAAATACAACTTTTGAGGTTTTGGACGTTTAGGGCGATCAGAAGATCCACAGATGTTTTGGTCTGGCGTTTTTCATTTTCTCACTGCGGAAAGAAGCGAACACGCACACGAACGGTCAGTTTGTCATTGGCGCAAATGAAACTCGTCTGAGGTTTCAGAGAAGTACTATAATTTGATGCCGAAAGCACAGCTGGACTGCAGGAATTTTTCCTCAGGCCGAGTTCGAGAGTCTGCAGCGGAACGTGGCCACTACAGCTTGATTCCATCTTTAACATCGCGCACACACACCGTACACATAGAGTAATGTCTTTTAAAGGGCAACACACAGTTTCTGCCTCATTTTAATGTACAGAGATATTATATAATTTTAGGTTGAATTCCCGAACAGTGAAAACAGTGTGGCTCTGCGGTGCTTTGAAACATTTGTTTTTGTTAGAGCGACATGTCAACCTCTGGCTTTAAAGAATGGCAGACAGGGAAGGGTGGGGCGGAATGATGATAGGGAATACCTGGCTCTGTTTGTAACGGGATAGTGGCTTACTGCTTACTGAATCCTACACACAATATACAGTGTCCTCCACTATTTTAAAACATACTACTAATAATAGTAATTATTATTGTAGAATTGACATTTCAAACCTAATCACACTGCATACAAATGGCATGAAATTATCATCTTGGAAATCTAGCTAAAGCATTTTGTATTTTTAAACCAAAATCTCTTGTATTTGTATTTTATGTGAATGTATTCATATATTTTAAAACTTTTGGATGACAAACTTGTATTTTTGAATGCACACAAGTAAATATCAATGACAAATTATTTGAAAGTCGTACAGAGTTGTACAGATTATTTTATTGATGCGTCTTTTTGTCATATTTGGAATTTGACAGCCTATGTTCCTATTTGATTCACTTTTATTATACAGCAAAAAGCCGATTGTCATTCTGCTCTTTTGTTGGTTCCACTGAAGATTTGAAATGACATGAGATTCGATAAACAATGACAGAATTCTTGGTAAGCTATTCCTTTAAGGATCAGTGAAACATGCCAGAAATATTTCCTTTCTGCACTGATCACTCCACAGCCACAAAGCACAACATAAACACTATTAAATGCCTTTCACTCAGAGATTAATGGCTCTCACACATCCAGACACTCCGTGACAGGCCTGATACTCTTCCAAATTATGCTGACAGACCTTGAGTGCAGGCTGACAAAGATTTTATGGCTGCATGTTAAGAAATCTTACTCTGTGTGTGTGTGTGTGTGTGTGTGTGTGTGTGTGTGTGTGTGTGTGTGTGTGTGTGTGTCTGAGGATTCATATATATGTGTGTGTGTGTGTGTGTGTGTGTGTGTGTGTGTGTATAAAGTTGCATTGATATAGAAGCCATCCTGATAAATCAACTCCAAGCTGTCATTACATATAAACAGTGGTTGAAGGAACGTAAACCCCACCAAGTTTACCTCCAGTATCACTGTATATATCTGAGATGGAGCAGTGTGTCTATTTAGGCTGACCCAGGATCAGCTACCCTAACAAAATCCAAAGCTCGTATAAGAGAAATAGCAGAAGAAGCATCAGACAAGATGAAGCCCGCAGCGATCCGTTCTGCCCCATCAAACTAACAGCTCACCACTAATGGAAACCTCAAGAGCTCTTTTAGACAAATAGTTTATAGAGGCGAAAGCTGTTAATCAACCGTTTTTACGACCAAATCTGTTTCACGCCACATCGATCAGCTTAAATGTCCGCCATGATTTAGATTCGAGGGTCTTAAGAGAGGAATCAGGTGTCTGGATGAGGCCGGCAATCAGCGAAAGAAAACAACCCAAGTCCAAACCGAGCCAGACACACGAGAGAATCTGAGTGGATTTATGAGGTGCTTAATCAGTTTTCCAAAAGCTTTCAAACAAGTTGAAGAGCTTCGATATTTGTGAGAGAACTTGGCATAAGCAAGCTCATCTCTGCCATTAAACTACAACAGCCATTGAAGATGAGAGTATAGGCCAATTTTTAAAGACTTCTTTTTTTCTTTTTTTTTTGTATTGTGAAAGCAGGAAGAAACAGCTGTGTTCGAACGCCAGCAAAATGTGGCGAGCACACACATCCTGTTTATTGCGCCTGGGTTGGTTTTTATATGCGTTTTGACGTCGACCACCCAAGGAGACTTGATTATTGAACCTCAAAACCTCTGTACAAAACCCAACCAAAACAAGTAGACCTGTTTGTTTTTGACATTGGCTTCTGAGTTGCATTAGACTATGACCTTGTGTAAAACACAATGATCCCTATAATAGTACAATCTAAACTTTTTTTTTTTTTTTTCCAAAGATATTATAAACTCTTTATTTACAATGAAATCATCAAAATTCAACCGTTTTATGTTGATTATTGTTTGAATACCAAATCAGCATATTGGAATAAAAAAGCATTTTATTTTGTTTGATGTGGTTTTATTTTATATAGCTATATTGATATTTCAGCACATGTGCCTGCATCCAGACGTGCTGGTATAGCTCTGCTGCATTTGTGACCAAGAGAGGCTGTTTAAAAGCACTTCAAAACATTGCAACAGTAAGCTGATAGGAATCCCTGAGGGAAGCACTTCTGTATAGCGTAAAGCGGGCGCTCCGCGTTCAGGATTAAGAAGGATCGCTCCACCCGACAGCGTCACGGCGAACACACTAATCCACCCGCACAAATTTAGACCTGTCAGCGTGACCTAATGCGAATGGCTGTCACCAGCCTGTTAGTTTGCTAGTTAGCTTTTTGATGTTCTTCATCCTTTAAGATTTTGGTGTCAGCACAGATTCAGGCTGCAAATGAGAGTCAGGTGTGCTACCCAAGTCCACAAAAGTATCACGTCATTGGTTGCTAATGTGTGAAGGAAACGTGTATGTAATGGGGTGAGTCAACATCACTAAAGCGTGTTTTTGGGTAATGAGTTATTTTAAAAAGAGCCTATTGTGAGGGTCTAAGAGAAGGGGGAAATGCTAGTGAAAAACACAATTCTGACAGTTTTGGGGTTGTCGTCATAAGCTGACACTGTGTTTTGTTCTCTGTTGATGACTGTAGATTACAGTGATTTGTTTTTAATGAGCAGGCCACTTCAATCAATTGAATTCCTGTCATTCACAAAGCTGAACACATCCCCCATCCCTCGCATGTTCACTTATGAAATGTTTTGCTAATTTCCATTCCGTCAGTGTAACACATGTTACTCCTAAATTAGCATTGAAATTGTCTGAAGATTTGTGAGGTAAGTTTAAAGAGTTTAACGAGTTCTTGTTAGATTTTGCTTAACGTGATGGAAGTGTGAGATGGGTAATAACTAAGAAACATTAGTCATTGCATTGTTCTCTCAGGTATATGCTAGACAAAGTGAACCCTCCTGTATGAGAATGTGAAAGGTGATAAGCTATGACATTTGTCTCAAATGTTCTCATTTCAGTTGTGTGCTTTATTTGGGACAAATAGGCCTACAGTGTCTTGCAAAAGAAGTTTTTATTTATTTATTTTTTATTTATTTATTTTTTTCTCCACGTTTTGTTAGTTTTTCACATTAGTCTACACTCCATACACCATAATGACAAAGAAAAAAAATTAAAATAAAATAAAATATATATATATATTAAAAAGGAATACCTGAAATAAGTACTTTGCAAAAATCATAGCCTTAACGGTCTTTTTGAGTATGATGCTACAAGCTTTTAACATCTGCATTTGGCAATTGTCTGCCATTCTTCTCACCTCTGAAGCTCTGTCAGGTTGGATGGGGGCTGGCAGACATTTTCAGACTTCTGGCCAAACGTTCGATTGAGTTGGGTTCTGGCCACCCAAGGACATTCACAGAGTTGTCCATTAGCCACTCTTGTTGTCCGCTTAGGGTCTTTGTCCTGTTTGAAGGTAAACCTTCTGCCCAGTCTGAGGTTCTGAATGCTCTGGACTAGGTTTTCATTAAGGCTGTCTCAATATTTTGGTGCACTGAGTAGTGCTGGGCGGTATACCGGTTCATACCGAATACCGGTGTTTCTTTTTGTTATGATATATATTTTTTAAAATCCCGCAATACCGGTGTATGTCGCTTAAACAACGTTCGGAATGTGACACTGTTTGAAAGGGGTCCCTTTTCACTGTTGCACTGTGGTGAGAGAACAGCTGTATGTGTTACTAAGCGTGAAAATTCCGAAACTGAAGCTGTAGAACTAATAGAACGCGATGACAGAAGAACTCATCATTTTTGGTCATACCGCCCAGCACTAGCATTGAGCTCTCCTTCCACTCGGAGTCCACCAGTCCACAGCATGATGCTGCTACCATCACTTTACTGATGGGATGGTACTGTGCAGGTGATGAGCAGTGCCTGGTTTCCCTCCATACGTGATGTGGTTCATTAGACCAAAAAAATCTTGTTTCTCACAGTCTTAAGAGTCCTTTTTTTGGCAAATTCCAAGTGGGTTTTAATGTGTCATGATTGAGGAGAGGATTGAGTCTGGCCACACCATCACGAAGCCCAGATCAGAGGAGTGTTGCAGTAATGTTTGTCCTTCTGTAGGTTTGTCCTATGTCCACATATGATCATGGAGCTGGAGTTGTACAAATGTTCTTCCATTAAGATAATGGAGGCTACATGCTTTTGTGAGCCTTCAATTTAAAGCAGTTTAACATAAGGCAGCAATGTAAAGTGTGACCAAAAAAAACATGAATATGGGTATGAATACTTTTGCAAGGCACAATTTTATTGCAACATTTATGTGTACAATTGAAATATATGAAGTTAAAGCATATAAAAATACAGCATGAAGTTAAAGCATATAAAAATACAGCGCAGAGTGAAATAATCAGGAAAAAACATAGGTGAAGTGTAATTTCTGTGTAATGCTGAAATACAGCTCATACCTGTAAAAATGGTAATTATTTCCGAAAGATTTCTTGAACCTGTTTTATGGGGAGTAACCGGTTTCCCCCACAGGTATAATAAGAACGGAGTGGACCTGAATCGCAATTTTCCGGACGCGTTCGAGAGTACTACAGGTCGGAAAAGGGAGAAGGAGGTAAGGGCCGTGATGGACTGGCTAAAGACGCAAAGCTTTGTCCTCTCGGCCAATCTCCACGGAGGAGCGGTGGTGGCCAGCTATCCCTACGACAACAGCAACGGAGGTCAGTTGCTAATAAAGCCATATCTGTTTTGTTTTCTTTGTTTTTTTTAATTGATAGAGATTCATGTTCGATTAATGTTAACAGTGTAAAGCTTACTGTATTATATTTGAAATGAAAACTGTTAAGTCCTCTAAATTGTCAATAGCATGAAAATGTTAGTGAAATGTTGCACACAATGCTTTTATAGTTTATAGATTTTCAGCTAGTAAACTATCTGTAACTGCAAAAATAGTGATTTTTATCAAGTAAATGTAAGAATAAATTAAGAATGTAATATTGTTATTAATATTCGTAATATTTCAAGATGAACACACAGGAACTTAAACTTACTTGATCATCTGTACATTTTTAGAAAATTGTAAAATATGATGCAGTGTGCTTGAGGAATGTTTACTTATCTTATTTTTGGCTATAAATATCCTCAATTGCACCAAATTCTATGTTTTTGCTTAGTTTGGGCCTCTAAAACTTTAATTTCATGTAAAATTAATTTAATTTAATTGTATCTTGTTTTATTTTAATGTAGTATATTTTGTTTATAATTTTTTTTTATTATTTCTCCAATTTGAGCTTTATGTTGTATAATAGACCTTATGTAGCTCTGCCCCCTTTTCAGCACTGCGCTTGTCTTGTTTTCCGTTTATATTTCTAGATCATGAAGGTAAGGTTGTAGCGAGACATTTGTTATGACATCTGCTTTGAACATTACAATGCTCATGATATTGTGAACTGTACATTAAGAAAGTTTTTACTTTGTACTTGATCATCTTTAAGAGCGATGCTATAGAGATACCACAAAAACCGAATTTGAAAGAGAGAATTGTAAAGATGATTGCACACTTGTTTCTCTGGTGCATAAGGTCTGTATATGGTATATGATTAATAAAGGGCTGATGCATGGAATATGAATATCTGTTGTCGGCAATCACATGCAAACGGTCTTAAAATGATTTGTAAATTGTGTACCATTGACAAACTGTTATCATGTATTTGATTTATTGATTTATTACAATGTTATCATTTTTGCCTTTCATATGATAGGCTTTACAGGGTTGAAGGCGTGAATCAATATTGTGAGGTTTTAAAAGCTACATGCGTTTATGGTAATTAACTTGCAGTGTTTTTTATTTAATTATTATTATTAAAATTATTATTATTGTGAGAAGCAAGTCGAATGATTGTATGTCGTAGCATATCATTATAGACCGATATAGAGTTTTAAAAATAATGAAGTTATGCCTTACAAAATAGGTAAAAAAAAGTTTAAACATAACTGTCTTAATGATGAACAGCAATTCTGTAGGAGTTCTTTTGAGTCCAGCGACGTGTAACGGTAATGTCATCGACTTTGTTTCAGGAAGCGAGCTGCAACGAGGCCTCAGCATCTCCCCCGACGATGACGTGTTTGTCCACCTGGCAAAGACCTACTCCTACAGCCACCGCGAGATGCACAACGGAAACAGCTGTTACGACTCGCAGGACTTCTCCCACGGCGTAACTAACGGATATCACTGGTATCCTCTACCAGGTAAAAAGGTTGTAAGCATCAGTTTAATAATTGTTCGTGGCGGTTTACCTGCAAACATAGCTAATATTTTGATGTCGTAATTGTAATGATTACATTTTGGAATATGATTGTAAAATAAAAAATTGATAATTACTGTAGTGACACTTGAGACACTGAGATTATTTGTTGCTGTTTGTATCAATTCTCAGTTACGTACTAGTGTGTTGTTCTCTTAGGGGGAATGCAAGACTATAACTACGTGTGGGCACAATGTTTGGAGCTCACACTGGAAATCTCTTGCTGCAAGTATCCTCCAGAGGCGCAGCTTCCCGGCCTATGGGCGGCCAACAAACCCGCACTACTGGCTTACATGCAGCAAGTACACCTAGGTAGGCAGACGGAACACCGCTTTGCTCACAAGCATACCTGTGACATTTTCTAATTCTATATAATTGAATATTAGAATATATACGCTGAAATGAAGACCTAAAACATTAAAGGGGTCATATGATGTTGCTAAAAAGAACATTATTTTGTGTATTTGGTGTAATGAAATGTGTTTATGCGGTTTAAGGTTCAAAAAACATTATTTTCCACATACTGTAAATTATTGTTTCTCCTGTATGCCCCGCCGTTCTGAAACACGTCGATTTTTACAAAGCTCATCGGTCTGAAAAAGCGAGGTGTGCTGTGATCGGCCAGCTATCCAGTGCGTCGTGATTGGCCGAATACCTCAAGCGTGTGACGGAAATGTTGCGCCCCTCGCCATATTGTGATGATGCCCTGTCCGGCCGGAGCGATGATTCAAAAACATGAAAACCCATTATAAACGAGGCATTCGTTGCATCCAGTGGGGACATAATTATGGATTATAATGACTTGTACTGTCTTTTTACGCGTTGCGTTGCATCACGCCGCGTAAGCATAAAACCATGTCTGCGTTTGTGATTGGAGAAATGACAAACAACAGTGTAGAGTAGGGCTCTACACTGCCCAAAAAACTCCCTTTAAATATATAAAATATAAAAACTCTTTAAATATAAAAGCATCATATGACCCCTTTAACAATCAAATTAATGTAATGAAATTAAACGAGCACTGAAATGAACACATTTCTGCACAAGAAATGTTTGTTAGAATAAAAACAAGGACAATGGTGATATGGGAAATATGGTAACAGTTTTTAGTGTAGGGACTAATTTTCACTATTAACTAGTTGCTTATTAGCATGACTATTATTAACATTGGCTGTTTATTAGTACTTATAAAGCACATATTTCTGCATGAGTATATTCTACATCCCTAATCCTACCCAATACCTAAATTTAACAAGTACCTTACTATTAATAAGCAGCCAATTAAGAGGTTGAGGCAAAAGTGGTAGTTAATGTTTTTTTTTTAATGGTGAGAATTGCACCTTAAAATAAAGTGTGACCAAAAAAAACATTATTATTACTTATTGTGTTAACTTACTGTATGTCCGAGTTTATTATTTAAATTAAGATCTTTGAGTTTCTGTGTGTTCATGAAGTGCTGATAGTTGTATAAAATGAAATTGTAAAATTGTGTTGAAGAGAACTGTCAGAGCAGCTCTTTAAGATGAAGTACAGGTAGCATCTCATATAGCGAGACGGCAGGAGCCAAAACACCATGAGCATCAGGTGCGCACAACCATGGTGCTCATTCATGTGACCCTGGACCACAAAACCAGTCATAAGGGTACATTTTTCGAAATTGAGATTTATACATCATCTGAAAGCTGACTAAAGCTTTCCATTGATGTATGGTTTGTTAGGATAGGACAATATTTGGTCGAGATGCAACTATTTGAACATCTGGAATGTGAGGGTGCAAAAAAAACAAAATACTGAGAAAATCGCCTTTAAAGTTGTCCAAATGAAGTTCTTAGCAATGCATATTACTAAACAAAAATTAAGTTTGAATATATTTACAGTAGGAAATTTACAAAATATCTTCATGGAACATGATCTTTACTTAATATCCTAATGAGTTTTGGCATAAAAAAAATCAATAATTTTGACCCATACAATGTATTTTTGGCTATTGGCTATTGTATACAAATATACCCCAGCGACTTGAGACTGGTTTTGTGGTCCAGTGTCACGTATGGCTATGCCGATTTCACATTTAAGCAGCAGTGTTATTTTTATGTACAGTAGTCTATCTCTTGATTTGATTCTCCAAATTATACATAATATAAATTATATATTCAGAATCTGTGACTGTGCTACAGTGTAAATGCCATAAAGGCTGGAATCTGTGTGTTTTCTGTATCGCATAAATCGCAGGGTCCTATGAGTGACCAAACAAGTTGAGCAAACATGTTTAAAAAAAAAAGCGCATGATGTCACTTGATTATCATATGAGGCTACACTCAATTATCCAGCTTTTTTTCCCTGTAAAACTGGTTATATGTAATGTGCCTGGCTTCTGGTGTCATTGGCTTCCAGTTGTTTTTAGCTGTACAAAACCGCTGTGTAATGTCAGATTACTTTTCTTAGGGAATTAATTATTATTAATTAATTCAGGTTTTGAGAGGACTCGAATCTGAAGATTCGAAGTCAACCTGATTAGAACTGATTTCAAATTTGATAGTTTACACTTTATCAACGGTCGTCCAGCGAGATGTTAACATCCGTGTATATTACCGATTCTGTTCATATTACTTCGTGGCCAACGACACAAACAAAATGGTAATCTTATTCGTTTTGAGCAAGGTTACAAGGATCTAGGCAGAGTTTTAACTTTAAAATGTCACGACACAAGACAATGATTCTTTATAAATGAAACAAGATTACATTGACCTAAGCTAAGACATACACATACACTCACACATACAGTTCTGAAGAATGAAAGTTACGGAGTTTGTATGAAGTTCCCAAAGTTCTAAGTCGTTTTCCACGAGTGGTTTTAAATTCAACCTGAGAGAATCACAAAGCAGAGGTTTGTCTTACGTTTACTGCTTAAATGGCTCAGCACCTATTTCAGCGGATAGAAGACCTTGTTTGTACTTGCGTTTGTGATGGCAGCTGCAACGGGGTTTCCTCGTAGCCTGAGGGAGTCCCGGCTTTTGATTGGTTGCTGAGATGACGTCGGTATGGCGTACTTTGGGGAGAGCCCTCCATGGTGATTGGTTGGTTGCCTGGTGACACAGAGGCTTCGGCAGGTCTTCTGAGAGAGTTTAAGTTTGCAAGACTTGAGGCTTTTGAAGATCTCTGGCAGTCACGAAGTTTCAGCTAAAGTGTTTGAGTTCTGGAGTCTCGCTTGTGCGATGTTACGGCGTGGGAGCGCTTTGTAGCGCGGTCACCAAGGCGAAAAGCCAAAGGTCTAGAGAGTAAGCAGCGAGAAGCACTTGAATCTGTGTTGCAGTGGGGTTTTGACCTGCGGCACAAGTCCGTCCCACGGCGCGCTCTTCCAATCGACTTGATGCAAGGCGGGGCGTGCATACCTTAACACGAAGCTTCACTTTATCACATGCGGACACCATCTATAAAAGTTTTGTTAGTACTTCTATAAAGTTTCTTAAATGCAAGTATTGTACATACTATTAAAGTTTACTTCATTTCAACATTCTGCATTTGTCGTGCCCATTCGTTCAAGCTCATATAAAGAGCCGCATATGTAATTACATGTTGTCATATATGTAATGTCTGATTACGTTTCTTAGGGAATTAATTATTATTAATTAATTCAGGTTTTGAGAGGACTCGAATCTGAAAATTCAGAGTCAACCTGATTAGAGCTGATTTAAAATTTGATAGTTTACACTTTATCAACGGTCGTCCAGTGAGACGTTAGCGTCCGTGTACATTACCGATTCTGTTCATATTACTTCGTGGCCAACGACACATAAACAAAATGGTAATCTTATTAATTTTTGAGCAAGGTAACAAGGATCTAGGCAGAGTTTTAACTTTAAAATGTCACGACACAAGACAATGATTCTTTATAAATGAAACAAGATTACATTGACCTAAGCTAAGACATACACATACACTCACACATACAGTTCTGAAGAATGAAAGTTACGGAGTTTGTAGCTGAGATGACGTCGGTATGGCGTACTTTGGGGAGAGCCCTCCATGGTGATTGGTTGGTTGCCTGGTGACACAGAGGCTTCGGCAGGTCTTCTGAGAGAGTTTAAGTTTGCAAGACTTGAGGCTTTTGAAGATCTCTGGCAGTCACGAAGTTTCAGCTGAAGTGTTTGAGTTCTGGAGTCTCGCTTGTGCGATGACGTTACCACTGCACCTCTGATCCTCGAGGGGTTTTCAGACAGGGGGAGTTTCTCCTCCCCTGGTGAGTTAGGGTTTAAGCACTGCTTTTATTTGAGTCTCTTGAGACTATAAGCTAGATGGGACAGGAACTGCTGAGACACTTCACTGACCCTGCATGAGTTTTACGACCGCAGATGGCTGCATAGGGTGCTCCTCAGTTTGTCTCAATGGAATGTGATTGTTTCATGTGTGACTCAGTGTAAGTGGGTCCGTTCGAAGACGGAGATCCTACAGCTGGTTATGCTGCTTAAAAATGCAAAGTGGTATTTTTTTTTAACCATATTCTTGGAATGTTTTGTCTTAATTGTAAAACACTGGTTTGTAGTGCAAACAGTAGGGCTGTGTATCGGCAAGAATGTGGCGATACGATACGCATCACAATACAGGGGTTGCGATACGATATGTTGCGATAGATTGCGATACTGTAAGCAAGATGATATATTTGGATATTTCCAGGGGTGTGAAGTAAAGAATTACAAATACTCCCGTTACAGTAATTAAGTAGTTTTTATCAGTAATTGTACTTTTTTGAGTAGTTTAAAAATTGTGTACTTTTACTTTTACTTGAGTACATTTTAAGTGATGTATCGGTACTTTTTACTCCGCTATTTTCCTCCGTTTCTGGTCGTTACATGCTTATTTTAATTTTATTTTTATCCATCAACGTGATTGGACAGAGAGTAATAGGTCTCGTGACTTTCATCAAATCAAATTGTGCATAGAAAACTTTAACCGCCAACTGTTGTTAATCGTGGCTGCTGTGGAAGTGCATTCAAGCATCAATTCAGTCGAGTTATCTTCCTCTAATATGTTAAGGTAAATTTCTGATTTCTGCTTACTAAATGATCTGTAAATGCTAGCCTTTCTACAGGGCCTGAAGTTTGGCGTGAGGTTAGAACAATGTGCATTTATGTTAAAATTGTAACAAATTATCAAGTGTAGTTATTTTTTTCTTTATTGCAAAACGCTAAAACTGGCACCTTTTTTGGAGAGAAATGGGCTCTCATTTTAACCAATATCATGGTGTGTGATGCTGAACTATGAGTTTCTAATGGTGTTTGTATTTGCACTGTTCTAAACATTAATATTTTATGTGCAACAACAGCATGCTGTCTCAGTGGCCTTACACAGGATTTTAAATCTATTTTTTCAAACTTTATGATTTAAATGGGGATGATTGTTGTACTGAGAATAACTTTCATCTTTTATTCAACTGAATACTGTTTCCGTGCTGTTTTGATGTATTTTAAAGAGTTGGCAGTCAAAATTAAAACTGCTGGATAATAGATATTCTTTATTCTTTATGACAAACAAGATAATGTGAATTACAGAATGTACAACGTTTTTAAAATGTATAAATTGCGGTGTACAGCGTTTATTATGAGGGGGTAGAATCCAGCAGAGACTTCGCAAATTTTTTATCACTTCACTGCCGCAGCAGTGAGTTTATTATTATTTTATTTATTTTTTATTTTTTTTCTCTTTTTCGCTTCTGAATTTATTCAATCTTTCCACTGTCGCAGCAGTGGCTTTCCTACCCTAATATCTAACAGTTCATCGCCGCAGCAGTGAGTCGTCCTTCAAACCCCGCAAACGTTCCTTCGTCACTACCGCAGTGGTGACAAATCCCCATTAGCTTTTACCCATCAGCAGCGATTTCTTTCTTTTGTTAAGCTTTCCTCTTCGCCATAGCAGAGTTTTCCCCATCGCTCCCGCAGGAGCGTTTTTTCTCCTCAAAGCGTTAAATAAGTCTTTTTGGGGGGTAAAACCAACATTTTTATTTTTATTTATTTATTTATTTTTTTTTTCTTTTTTAGGAAAACTGTCATTTAGAACACACCACCATATGCAAACCTTAGGAAAAAAAACATCCATTTACATACTTGACATCCGGAGCTCATTGACAAATATCTTGTATCGTAAGATGCGCTCCCTTTTTCACAGAGTGCGCGTTATCGCGAAATCGAAAGTGAACAGCGTGAGCGCTCATTCAAAAGAGAGAAAAATACTCCCTATTGATAGGCGAAAATTCTATGCAATATTAGAATGTTTGCGGGAGCGGGCGGGACTGGATAAACCTTGCAGGAGCGGAACACACACATTGTCACCCTCATGTGGTGTTGGGGTCCTTTTTGCTCTGAAAAAAAATTATTTTTCCCGAAAATACTAGTTATTATGAATAATTTTCACAATATTAAAAACGGAAGAAAATTTGCAGTTTATCACACTAGTGTGCTTTAATGCTTAATCAGGGAGTTTGTTTTGAGAGGCTTTTATTTTGTACAAAATGGCACAAAAGTCACACTTGTGGTGTTCCCGGTCAAAAATGTCCAGCCATTCAAAGCCAGTATATTTTTTTCAGTAATGTTTCCACCACTGGATATTTCTTATTTTAGGAAAAGGAGAATAGGATATAATTTTAGGAAAACTGTCATTTAGAACACACCACCGTATGCAAACCTTAGGAAAAAAAACATCGATTTAAATACTTGACATCCTGAGCTCATTGCAGATTTGACAGGGAACAGCAAAAGTGTTACTTTTTGCCCCTTTACAGAAAATAAAAGCATTTCAAAATAAAGGTCCTTTTTTGTGATCTTTCCCATTCACTCTGAATGGCCAGTCATTTTTGACCGGGAACACCACAAGTGTGACTTTGTGCCATTTTGTACAAAATAAAAGCCTTTCAAAACAAACTCCCTGATTAAGCATTAAAGCACACTATTGTGATAAACTGTGCAAATTTTCATCAGTTTATATGTAATATTGTGAAAATTATTGATAAATAATGCTTTTTTCACTCAAAAAATTAGGTGCCTAGTCTCAGATAAATGAGGCCTACGATTAATCAGAAGCAAATATAAATACAAAACCAGTCCTAAATGAAAGATAAGAAGTTGACAAAAAAGCAATTGTTTGAGGCCGGGTCCTTTTTGCTCTGTAACATCGTAAGTGTGATAGGGTTCTGAACACAACACAAGGGTTAAGTTCAGAGGTAAGAAGACTGCTATGTAGTGGTCGGGATATAAACCCAAAACGAAACAACAGCCATGAATATTGTATACATTTTTTTATGTAATTTTTATATTGATATTGCGTTTTTGAGAATCGATACAGTATCGCCAAACAAAATATCGTAATACTCGCGTGTATCGATATTTTCTTACACCCCTAGCATACACTGCGATTTATGCACTTTGATATTTGTAGTGTTATTTTCCTATAGCAGCTAACGAATTGGAAGTCGGGTCCATTTACGGAAAACGGTTTACTTGCACATTGCAAAATAAGGTGGATAAAAAGATTAGGGCGGATGGATTATTGTGGCACAATAAGCATATCCTGTTACAGTCACAATAAAATTGCACAAACGGACACCGTACCATCCCTGACCTTTAGCGACGGGACAATCCGACAGCTGACTCGCGGGACAAAGGCACCGTCCACACCCAGCGTTGACACAACGGTCTCTGTAATCCATCCGCAAGCAAACGGCGGGATCGGAAGCCAATACGCTTTGCCACACCTTTTAAACAACGGGGCAAAAAAGTTGTTTACAAACCGGAGCAGCTAGAGTGTTGTAATGCCTCACAGAGATGATGAAATTGTTTACAGTCGAGTTGCGGTTGATGGCTTTTAAGATGGGCCGTGCACCTTTAAAAAGTCATTGCCACGTACGTATGACAGCGATTTGCTGGCATAGAAACTCCTTAATGGATGGAGGTCATGAAGGTGTATGTGAAACATTATAGGAAAGGATGTGAACATTTTCCATTTGACAAACCAAATGGGTTCCCCGTTTGCTTGCATGATGTGATATTAGGTGGCTGCTTAGAGAAAAGAGGCCACCCCAAATATGAGTAAAAGTACCTTTTGCTATGAAAAGCTGAAAGTGAAAGATTCCTTTATTATATATTTGTTTATTTTATTTTTTATTTTTTTTGCACAGGGGTGAAAGGAGTAGTGATGGACTCGTACGGGAAGCCTGTCCAAAACGCTGTAGTGGAGGTAGCGGGGAGAAGAAACGTTTGTCCCTTCAGGACGGATCGTAACGGGGAATACTACAGACTGCTGCTGCCCGGAAACTACACCATCAAAGTAAGATCAGGCCTTCTTGTAGGGCATTTCATAGCTGCTCAAAGTGTTAAAGGGATAGTTGACCCAAAAATGACAATTTGATGTTTATCCGCTTACCCCGGGGGCATCCAAGATGTAGGTGACTTTGTTTCTTCAGTAGAGCACGAATGATGATTTTTAACTCCAACCGTTGCAGTCTATCAGTCGTATAATGCATGGCAATGGTAACAAAATGTATGAGTAAAAAAACACGCACAGACAAATCCAAATGAAAGCCTGCGGCTCGTGACGACACATTGATGTCCTAAGACACTAAACAAAACCGAACGATATTTATATCATTTTTGTACCTCTAATACACCACTATGTCCAATTGCCTGAAGAGCAATCAACCATAAGTTCAGGCGAGCAGGCTCAGAAGTTGGGAATACGTGGAAAGTCACCACTCCCGAATGAGTTTGCACGAGAGAACGTAATCTTTTAGTTTTAAGTCGGTTTGAACAATCCGGATAAGCGCAAGTAAGTACCATTTTGATTAGCCGTCGTACCTATCTCTGTAATCCATCCGCAAGCAAACGGCGGGATCGGAAGCCAATACGCTTTGCCACACCTTTTAAACAACGGGGCAAAAAAGTTGTTTACAAACCGGAGCAGCTAGAGTGTTGTAATGCCTCACAGAGATGATGAAATTGTTTACAGTCGAGTTGCGGTTGATGGCTTTTAAGATGGGCCGTGCACCTTTAAAAAGTCATTGCCACGTACGTATGACAGCGATTTGCTGGCATAGAAACTCCTTAATGGATGGAGGTCATGAAGGTGTATGTGAAACATTATAGGAAAGGATGTGAACATTTTCCATTTGACAAACCAAATGGGTTCCCCGTTTGCTTGCATGATGTGATATTAGGTGGCTGCTTAGAGAAAAGAGGCCACCCCAAATATGAGTAAAAGTACCTTTTGCTATGAAAAGCTGAAAGTGAAAGATTCCTTTATTATATATTTGTTTATTTTATTTTTTTTGCACAGGGGTGAAAGGAGTAGTGATGGACTCGTACGGGAAGCCTGTCCAAAACGCTGTAGTGGAGGTAGCGGGGAGAAGAAACGTTTGTCCCTTCAGGACGGATCGTAACGGGGAATACTACAGACTGCTGCTGCCCGGAAACTACACCATCAAAGTAAGATCAGGCCTTCTTGTAGGGCATTTCATAGCTGCTCAAAGTGTTAAAGGGATAGTTGACCCAAAAATGACAATTTGATGTTTATCCGCTTACCCCGGGGGCATCCAAGATGTAGGTGACTTTGTTTCTTCAGTAGAGCACGAATGATGATTTTTAACTCCAACCGTTGCAGTCTATCAGTCGTATAATGCATGGCAATGGTAACAAAATGTATGAGTAAAAAAACACGCACAGACAAATCCAAATGAAAGCCTGCGGCTCGTGACGACACATTGATGTCCTAAGACACTAAACAAAACCGAACGATATTTATATCATTTTTGTACCTCTAATACACCACTATGTCCAATTGCCTGAAGAGCAATCAACCATAAGTTCAGGCGAGCAGGCTCAGAAGTTGGGAATACGTGGAAAGTCACCACTCCCGAATGAGTTT